CTAAAATGCAATAAAAATCTCAATTTTGCTAAAAAATTCCCGGAACCTGATTTTCCTAGCAATCAACCCATATGATCACATTTTTGTGGGATGAGATGACGTCATCCATGTGCAGCCTGATTAAGAACTGTATAAATAGTCTCGTTTTGTTTACTTTGATCTCCAGCGAAGTTTTGCTTGGTTCTTCGTTAAGTTAGTTATATTTTTGCCTTTATTATGGTAAAAACCTTTGCACTTCTTTACTTGCGAGCATAAGCCGGAGGAAGGGTGATGACGTTGTATTGATATTATAGACACCGAGCCTCTCCGAGTCTGAAACTTTCCTTAAAGAGTTAATCCTTCTCTTTTTGTACAGTCCGAAAAAGGATAGAGGCGTCTTCGATTTCTTTCGAGTTTTTCTTACTATGAATGAAAAGCAAGGCGTCTCGTTCAGTTTTTAAACCAATTTTTCGAAGTTTTGCTGGGTTCTTCGTTAAGTTAATATTATGGTAAAAACCTTTGCACCATCTTACTTGCGAGCATAAGCCGGAGGAAGGGTGATGACGTTGTATTGATATTATAAGACACCGAGCCTCTCCGAGTCTGAAACTTTCCTTATAAGAGTTAATCTTTCTCTTTTGTACAGTCCGAAAAAGGATAGAGGCGTTCTCAATTTCTTTCGAGTTTTTCTTACTATGAATGAAAAGCAGGGCGTCTCGTTTAGTTTTTTACCCAATCAATTATGGTACAGGATTTCTAGTATTTCTAGTTTTTCTGGTTGGTTCGATTCCAACATTGATTCTTACATTTATGATACGAACTGTCTTCGCTTTACGTAAAAGGTAACAACATGAGTCTCCTTTATTAGGGTTACCGATATTATTATGAAACTTTTACTAAATTATCGAGGAAAATATGGCGAAAATTTTTATTATTTTTTTTTTTTTTTTGATTTATTAAATGGACATTCTCCACTTTTTTTTTTATGTATTGCAACGACACGAGGTAACAAAACAAGATTTTAATTTTAGAATAATTTAGAACAATAAATATGACAAGCGATATCTTCTTGATTTACGTTCAATTTCACACTAAAATGACAAGAACGAATTATAGTAGAAGGAAATCAAACTAATCAAAGACTTCGCTTTGCTTAAATAGGAACTATCATTGATCTCGTTCGATATATAGTTATTAGGTAAATCAAATGTAATCAACAATCAGATCTTTAAATTAAATTTTGCCTTTATCTATCATTGCTCGTAATGATATCGCAAAAAAAACTCGTAAGGATAAAATGAGACTGACGTAATATTCTTAGCTGGTCTTAAACGTAATATGATTGGCTTGATGACGAGTTTAAATACGAGGGCTTGGTTCATCGATTATTTTTCCTCTCGATCTTGTTAAGAATAATTCAACAAATTCTTCTGTGAATAATGATTCACAAACGGTTGTGAGTGATGATTATACACGTTCAGAAGCTCTTTCGGGCTATCAATCATATGGTATGTGATTGCATTCGTATTTTATTCAAAATCAAAATTATTAATTTAACCTTTTGCATTCCCATAGAATCTCTGGTAACAGAATACGCCTCTGCATTTGAAGAGGATGATGATGAAACGGATCTTACACAAGAGGAGTGCTGGGAAGTTGTGTCATCATTTTTCAAAAATAAAGGAATTGTATGACAACAGTCGGATTCTTTTGATGACTTTATTGAGCGTGGTCTAGTTGAAGTTATGAACGAAACCCCAATGCAAGCGATAAGATATTCTGATTTTGAAGATGGGCAAGAAATAATGGTTTGATTTCTCTATTTTTGTTGTTTTTATATGGAATACATTTTTTTTTAAAATATATATATATATATATATATATACAAAATTAGACTCGATACCAGTTTGATAAGCCATCATTTACTAAACCTCAATTTCCGAGCCTGAGGGTATTAAAAAGCAACTGTTCCCGTATGAAGCTCGCTTAAGGGGTTTAACGTAATTTAATTTAAATAGAATTCCATAATATTATGTATACACAACTCATCAATTTTTTTTCTTTTTCTTGTATAGGTAGGTACTCATCCCCGTTATTTTTAAATATGAAAATTTTATATCAAAGCTAATCATAAACAGTTTGATGAAATCGATTACAACGAAAATGATTTCAAAGGAAATGAGAAGATTGTGGTTGATGAACCGGTATTTTTTGGAAAGGTAACTTTGTTTCAAAATTAATAATTACAATTTATTATGACGATAATATGATATAAATTTTCTTATTTAAAAAATAGATTCCTGTTATGGTACATTCTAAATTTTGCTCAACTGAAAGAACGTCATGAATGTCCATATTGATCAGGTATAATAAATTTAACCTTTTTTTAACACATAATATCCTCATGCTAACTAATTTTACTTCATTTTATGGTGGTTACTTTATCATTAACGGTTCCGAAAAAATTCTAATATCTCAAGAAAGATTAGCCTACAATTACGTCTATATCTTTAAACATGCTTCGCCGTCGACTACCTTGTATAGCGCGGAATTTCGTAGTTCTACTGAACACATGTCAAAAGTAAGAACTGAAAACTTGAAATTGATTACGAAAACTTTTGCCGGAGATTTAAGGATCAATAATTTTTTACTTTGTTTTATACATATTATTATTTATTCAACCTTTTAGTTAATTATTAGAAAAGCTGAATCATTCACACACGTCGCTTTGCATTTTATTATAAAGGACATTCCAATTAGAGTTTTCTTGCCATCGGAATCCTCAACGATGAGGACTTCATCGATTGTATTTGTCTTGATTCTCACGATCTTGAAATACTCAACATTGTATTATATTGTATTGACGAAACACGTGCAATTCAGTCGCAAAATGTACTGTACTTGTTTTACATTTAATTTTCATAAAAAAATCTAACACATTTATTTCATTAATTTTCTAATATTTATTTTTTTTTAAAAAAAAGATTTTATTGCGCGCAGAGAAAATACATCTCACGCGGATCGGGAGAAACGGATCGAGTACGTATTGGCTTAAAATAATTAATTTTATTGCAAAATTGTTAAATCATAATATGATGTTATAAAAACTATATGACGCATACCGTAGTATGCGTAAAACATTATATATAACGAATTTCTGCCTCACGTTGGAGTAGGAATAGGCTTCAATTTAATTAAAGAATATTTTGGCGCGTGATACAGTAAATTATTTAGATTACAATTTTAAAATTTGTTAATATATTTAAAAATTTTTTTTTTTAAAAAAAAAGAAATATATAAAGGGCGTTTTGAACATGATCAAGCCAAATCCTTATATGACCCTTGGATTAAAACGTGGAAATTATGAGAAACTTGATGACGATGGGATCGTATCTTGTGGGGTTCGAGTTTGTGGAAATGATATTCTTATAGGAAAGGTGTCCACACTTTCACCTGAAGATGAACTGTTTGGCCAACGAAAAGAATCTCATGTATATCGAGATGGTTCTACACCATTAAAGATCTACGGAACATCGAATCGTTGATCAAGTAATTGTTACCACAAACCAAGACGGAGCTAAATTGGATCAAGTTGGAGTTAGAAATACGCGGATTTCTGAAATTGGAGATAAATTCGAAAGTCGTCATGATCAAAAAGGAACCATTGGAATCAATTATCATCAAGAGGATATGCCATTCACTGCTGACGGTATTTCACCAGATATTATCATAAATCCACAGCCGTATGACAATCGGACATTAAATTGCACGTTTAATGGGAAAGGTATAGTAAAAAGATATGTTTTAAAACCATACAGTAAATACGTGGTTTAATTCTAACTTGCGATTGTATACACTTGTTCATAAAGCTTTCGATGTTTCCGGGAGTGATGGTGATGCCACAGCTTTTTCTGAAGTTACCGTAGAATCCATTTCGCGAAACTTGGTTCTTTGGATTCCACCGTCGTGGATTGGAAGTTATGTATAATGGTCATACTGGACGTAAATTAGCCGCAAATTTTCATTGGACCGACTTATTATCAACGGTTAAAACATATGGTTCAAGATAAAATTCAGTAAGTCTTTTCCATATAGTATACAATTGATTAATTTAGAATTGCACTAAATATATATAGTTCACGCGGAAGGGGTCCAGTTAATATATAAACTAGAAAACCAGTTGAGTGACGTAGTCGTGAAGGAGGATTAAGATTTGGTGAAATAGATTGTATGATTTCTCACGGAATAGTCTTATTTGAAGGTATTCCGTATTCAAATATCTTTTTAATATCTTTTAGATTTATTTATTGCTTACGATATTTTCATTTGTAAAAAAAAAAAAAAAATTATAACGACTTAATGATGTCGCGGATGGTTATAGAATTCATGTGTGTGATATTTGTGGACTGATGTGTATAGCACAAGTTTCGAAAATAGTAAATTTATTTTATTACTTTTTCTTTTATAGATTTCTCAAGTACAAATTACATATGCGTGTAAAATACTTCTTCAAGAGCTAAATCCATGAATATCTCTCCAAGATTAATGCTATCATCAACGTCGAATCCAATGTATATAAAATAAAATTCATCCCCGCTTGTCGAAGATTGCTTGAGGCAATAATCTTACCTTCTGTAATTAAAAAAATATATACTATTATAAATTTACTTAAATATTTCTTTTTGCATACTTTTCTATACATATTTTTACTCTTATTTTATAATCACCTATTTTAAAAAAAAAAGTTAATCTATATCATATTAATATAAATTATATTTTTAATTAATTAATAAATAAATAATATTATATAATATAAATCTAGAATAATAAATAATTACAAGTAAATAAAACTTATAAAAAAATATAGTTACAACTATTTAAAATTAGTTATAATTATTTACTACTTTATTTTAGTTAATTATATAATAATTTTCTTAAATTTAAATAAATAATTATTATATTACTTAGAAAACTATAAAATATATTATATATATTTTTTAGTTAAAGATTTTTAAAAATATTATTAAACATTTAAATAACTATAAATATTTTATAATAATAATATATTTCTAATATAAATTATATATTTAAGATATTTAAAATTATATACAATCAAATCTTACTAAATGCATTCATAGAACTATAGTGAAAATTTGAAAAAATATGCATTTAAAAAGAATATACATTTAAAAAAAAGAATTTATATATTTTATATGCAAGTATTAAATAAAAATATACATTTAGAAAGAAAATATATAGTATATGTATTTAAAGTAGATGTATTTAAAGGGATTTGACTGTAATAAATAATAATATTATAATATTATATTTATTATTTATATATAAAATAATAATTGTATATTTATATTATTATTTTATAAATAATATATTAATATATTTTTTATTTATCTTCAAAAAATAATCTTCTAACTTTAAATAGATTTGTAGCTATAAGAATCAACTTGTAAGTATTACAATAAAAATTTTTATAAAGCATTTATTGTATTTTATTACATATTAAAATAATTTGAGAAATAGTTTGATAATTTAGAAATTAGCTAAAAGAGATTTTTTCTATTTTATTATAAATAAGAAATTTTATTAAAAAATTCATATAAAATATTTATACAAAAAGTTTATAAAGAGAAAACTATTGCAAATGAAAAAAAAGAAAAAAGAGACCAATATTATGATTTAGAAGGTCAAGATAATGTTATCTGTAATTATAAAAAGTATGGCATATTTATTTTATCTAAGCAAATAATAATATCAAGTTTAAGTTAATATTTTAATTTAATTAATAAGGTTTTATACTAAAAATATTATAATAAATTAATAATAAATGCTAAAAACACTCAAAACTCTTAATGATTTAAGAGAAATATTATATAAAAATAAGATCAATAGGGAAGATATAACAATTATCAAGCAATTTACTTCTAGTAGGTGATTAATCAACTTTTTAGAACTAATTAGATAGCTATACTAATCTTATTTTTTCATTAGTAGTCTTCAAGAAAATTAATAATGATGATAAAGTTCTCAATTATTATATAGAAAATATTATCTTAAATTTTTAAATATAAAAACTATGACTGATATTAATAAAATGACATGCTATGTATTTATTTCATCGATTCTTTATGCATCTATTATTATAGCTAAAAAACTTATCCTTTAAGATATATTCATAGTTTTATAAAAAGATATTTCTAGTGAAAATGTAATAAGTTGAGTAGACTACACAATTAAAAGTCTAAAAAACCTCTTATGTATCACTGAAGGAAAGTCTCATAATATTAAAATTAGATATATGCAGATAAATTTATTATCTATTCATACTTTATAGATAATTCAATAGTATTAATAATATTTTTTCTTTAGAATTTAGTGCAACTTGAGAGAGCATTCTAAATAAATAAAAAAATGAACTATGAATTAAATGTTTAAAAATAACTATTTTAACTACAGTCCTTGCCAAAAGTAATGGCGGTCAATTTTTATAACTTAACACATGCGATTTATTAATAAACCCAATTAAAATTTTTTTAAATAAAATATGAATATCATAGTTGCAATTTTTATTAATTAATTAGTATTTAGTATGCGCTCCTTCTGCATCAATGCATACTATAATTCGATTTGACATACTATTGATGCAGTTAACTATTATATCATCGTCAAAATCATTCCATTCTTCTTGAATTATATTATAAAAAATTTCAATTGATATTTTTTTTTTTATGCTACCATTTTCTTAATCTTTATTTCAATTTTCCTTTTTAAAATAGCCCAAAAATTTTCAATCAGATTAAAATCTGGACTATAAGATACCTATGGAAGAACTTGATCCAAAAGGTAAATTTCCAAGTCCCTTTAAACATTATAGGATTTGTATTTTGGGTTATTATCTTGCTGAAAGATCCATCGATGACCTAATAATTTATTCGCATTATTATAGAGCTGATCGTTAAGAATTTGACGATATAAATAATAATCAAAATTTTCAGTAAACATGTGCATGCTTATTCTTCCTTTAACATTGATCGCAGCCTAAACATGCACTTTAAAGGGATACTTAACCATGAGTTGAACTAGTTTTCCATTACAAGACCATGCAAGGATTGTGTTATGAAATATTTGAATCATTATTTCGTCAGAAAAAACTATTCTTTTTCAATCATATTGCAAATGGTCTTGTTCTCAAGATAAGCGAATGTCTTTCACTTTTAGGTCAAAAGAGGAACTTTTTGCAGAAGAACTGCTACATAACTGAACCTAGAAAGTTCTCGACAGATAGTTATTTCACTGATTTCTAATTCTGAATCATTTTCTTCTAATATAGCCTTCAGTTCCCCAACTGTAATGAAATGATCATGCTTAATGATCATTCTGACGTGCTAACATTTTGTGGGGGTTAATTTTCGTGGGTGGCCAGATAGATGAATTTCTGGAATATTGCCATTTTTTTGTAAAATGACAACATATCTTTTACAAGAACGTAAAGGAACTCCAATTCAATTAGAAATTTCCTTTGCATTATGAATATTTTATCTCAAAGATATTTTACGACTTCACGATTTGCTTTAATAGATGTCGATGATATTTGGTATAGTGGTAATTTAGATTAAGTTTAAAATAAATAAATAACATTTAAGATCAGGTTTTTTTGTTTATTTTATTAAAAATAATATCATATTGCCTAAATCGGCCTAATTAATAATGCGTCAAATCAGAACACTGGAGAAACTATGACCAAAATATTATTTAATATTCTCACCGCTATTACTTTTAGTAGGACTGTATATCTATGATATTATGATTACAAGCACAGAGTAGTATTTTATTATATATACTTCTAATGGTATATACTTAATAAATTGAAGTGAATACTAAATTAATCTCACGAAATCTGCAATTAAAGATAATTCTGAATTATTTCAAAGTAATGTAAAAGGTAATAGATATTATTGTTAGATTGTTGAAGTATTAGATTAGTATAAATAGTTCTCCAACTAGTAAGAGGGCTAAAATTAAAAAATTATCAAAAAATAATATGTATTATAAGCTCAATCCTAACTTTTGTATTTATTTTTATATGTTAATAAAAAATTTTTGGTAATTTCAAAATATTGAATAATTCCTTTCATATATAAAATTATTGATTATGTTAGTTAATGAAGTTAATCAATCTGAGCTTAAAGTATTAAAATAGTATTTCATTGATCAAAAGGCCAAAAATGTTAAATTTTCTGAACTTAAAAAGAAGAATATAGATCTTAAGAATAAAAATGCTTAGATTTTTGATCTTAAAAGAAAGTTAGTTGAGTTTGAATCTGAGAAAGTTGAACTTAAGATCAGACTTACTAAAGTTTTAAAATAGACTAATAAAAAGAGTAAAAGATATAATGCTAAGAATTCTAAACTTAAAATCAAAATTAAAGTGTTGAAGAAAAATGATATTAAAGAGAATGCAAAGCTTAGAGATTAAATCATAAAAGTGAAACTGAGACAGTTGCAAAAAGATAATACTTCTAATAACAATTTATCTAACTTCAATTCTGTTACAGATCAGTTATCTATAATAGCATATTATAATAAAGAAATGAGTATTTCATTACTTAAAGAACCAATATCAAAGAAGAACTAAAAGTATCTATATCAGCTATCAAGCTCAATAGATCAGATAATGCAGTAGCAGAGGTGATAACAGTATCTGCTAACTCTAAATTATCAGAGAAAAAAAAAATAGATAAATTCTGAGATGAAGCAAATAGAAAAGCATTAGTGATAGAATAAGATAATACAACAAGAAGAAGAAACTTTTATGTGAGTCAGCCTTTTTTAAGATATTATCTTCTGCAGGAAATAATCTAACTATTTTCTTAGAAAATAATGTAATTGAAAGTAATACAAATATTATTTCCTTAGAAAATGATCAGATAGTTTCAGAAAAATCAGAAAAAATTGAGAAAACTTTAAGAAATC